TTGGCAGGGGGGTTGGACTAGATGACCCACAGAGGTCCCTTCCAAACCCTACCATTCTGTGATTCTGTAAATTAATAACTTGCCTGGTTTTTTTAACTAGTAATGCTTCGGAATCAGAATCTTCAAATGTGATGTTTATCATAGTGTTGTACCTTTAAGGCTGAACCAAGGTGCGTTTTAGAGGAAGTTAGTGAAGGAATATACGAAGTGCCCTTTGTTTTCTCATTTGGGTACCTGTGAAGTTGGATTTTAATGAAGCAAAACCATTTCATGCTCCATCTTGTTTTTCTGGTTTCTTCTTTTAAGGAATGTATCCTCAACAGGTCCAGATTTGAGGTCATCCATGGAATTGGAATGTGATATTAGCAACTATAATTTGATAGGAGCAGTTTCCAGGAAGGAAATATGTTTGGGTTTTGTGTAATAATTTGATGTTTCCCATATGTTTGGATATATGTCCGCTGCAATATATGAGTTTTTCCTTGTATTTAATTGTTGTTTGTCGATTGCAGTTGCTCTGCATTACATAAAGGAACAAAATCTTGCTTTTCTTTGGACTTTGGATGTAAATCTAAATAATAACAAATATTGAATCTGGTTTTAATGTTTATTGAAGCTTCATTATTTTAATTTTCTTGGTCTTCTGATTTTTTTTGATTCAACAGTAGTTTTCACATGTTTTAATGATTCGTGCTCAGAATGTAGTATTGGTAAGTTGAGAAACACAATTGGGCTCTACTTTATTTATTTACCTTCAAGTTATACAAGCTTGTCAGTAATAAAAAATGCTACTACGTTGTCATATTGGCTTTTATTGCTACACTATATGCCGGTACACAGACTGCTAGTAAATGCCAAACTGAGGACATTCCTTTAAGGATGCCCATTTCTGTATAACTTTTTGTTGACTGTGACAACGTAAATCTTAGTTTCGATTCTGTCCTTGTTACACATGACAAATGTTTTATATATTTTTGCTTCAGTATACGGTACAAAACATGACCTCTCTATTTGCTGTTCTTTTCCACAAGATGTGCTTGAAAAAGGAATCCTCACATTGGAAGGTTGTTTAAGGATATTAAGGAGTTGGTAGGGTCACTGTCATGGAAAAGCACAAACTATTAACTTTTTTCATTTGTAATATTGTAAATATTAAAATTAATTTTAGATTATGAACTCTGACATCTCTGTTGTGATATTTCAAATGCAGTTACCTTCCTTTCCTGTGACCTTCACTGAGTTTTATGTGTATTTCTGTTTGGTTTTTTTTTGGCTTCTGAAGACAAATACAGCAAACTAATCTTTACCTGTTGTTTTGCCTTGTTGTATAAAATGTTAATATTTGTTTTTGTGTATTTTCTTTTCATGTAATAATACAGATATGGATTGATTGGAATAAAACATAACATTAGACAAGCAAAAGTAATTTCATTTATGTTGTTTCTAGATGGAATCAGTGTTAGTGGACTTCCGCTCTCCAGTCCTTTTCGGCAAGTGGTCAAACCGAGAGTAGAGACTAAACCTATTAATCCACAAGAAAGCAGCAAAGTTGGTGACTTTAGTCATGTGAAGGTAAGTAAGTGACATCAAAATAAGTAAAAGATGTGGTTTTCATTGTGCTGTGTTAGGGTTTGTTGTGTGATTAAAAAATAAAGGCTTCCTTGTCTCATAAATATTTCCCTTTGGTTTTCTTGTAGAACAGCTTGATGTTCTGTGTTTGGATTGTTGTATTAGAACAAACAAACGAAAAGGCGAAACAAGATCAGGCTAACAGTAGAAATTGTAGCGAGCTGGTTATCAGTACGGTATACTCAAGGAGCTGTCAGTTCTGCACCTCGTGTTGCTTTCTTATGCTGTATACTCTGATGGAGGGTTAGAATGTATGGAAGGATTTGTACCTTCTAAACATTTTTGGATCAAAATCTTATCTTCACACTTCTAGTAGTAAGCCTTTTAGAGGTGTTCCTATAAGTAATAAAATAGAATAGTTGAGAGCGCCGAAAGAAAAGTAAATAAAAGGAGCAGAATGAAAGAACAATTGTGTAGGTAGAAGCCGCACTGTGCTTTCTTTTAGTATTCCCTGGAATAAGCTACTGTTTGTTTTTCTGTTGAAGATCTTACCTGTTGAAGATGTAAACTTCTTGTTTTGAGCAGTGAAAGAAGAATAAGTTTCATACTGGCCAGATTTGCAGAAGATCTAATTTAAGATTGAAATAACAAAGATTGACAAAAATGTACTGTAGCACTTCATTGGTCTCTTCCATAGCTTTGGTGAATGTTTTGCATGCCTTGTAGTATTTGATACGTTTCCCACATGGACCTGTGTTTGGCCTTAATTTGTTCAGTCAGAATTTAGAACGAGTGTTGTTCACTGCGGTATTTGGCTCAGCATGTCTTTGGCCGAGAACCAAACACAGGCTTTGCTTTTCTCAGTAACTCGCTTTGCATGTGAATTTGCTTTCTTCCCAGTGAGGTTATTTACAGTCTATTTGATCAATAAACAGGTGATGCTATTAATTTTTTGAGTACGTTTCTTTTGGACCATTAGTACTGCTAATTCATCATCATTTGATTCTACAGTACAAAAAGGATGATGGCAGCATATGAAAGATGATAAACATTTAGTAAAGCCTTTCTTTGTACTTTATGGCATAGCAAGATATTTCCCAGTTGCGCATAAATACAAATCAGTGTGAGTGAGGAAACAGTGTGATATTTAAGTGGGTAAAATGTCCAGCATGAATTTTTAAGTTCAGACTTTGTATAGAATGTCTGACCTATAGAGTCTTCTGACTTAGAGAACCGAGGGGAATGTTATTTTGAATTTGGACTACAAATCCAGAAATGAATAATTTCTTTGCACCGCATACATGAAAAAAACCTTTTGGTGCACTTTTTGCTTGTCAGCCAGTTGTCCTGGCAACCAAGAAGTTACAACTTCACAGTAACTTCTGTGATGGTATTTACACGGATCTTGGAGACCTGCAAAGCAAGAACTTCTTTTTTAACGCGTATAGTGAAACAATCTGGTGGGACTGCACATGCCTGATTCTGTTGCTAGGTTTATGGAATGAATTTTGTTTTAATTAATCAGTATTTTGTGATGAAAGGACCTTGCAGGTGATCAGAAGTATGTTCAATAGTGAATACATGTTCCAATAGCGTAAAGGGATTCCTTGCTCATTAAATTTATCTGTGTATCAAGCCTGATTTGTATGACTGCCTTCAGCTCCAATAGCATGCCCAAAATGAACAATTCACTGTGTTAACATCTATTTTAAAACAGGCTTAATCACTAACCTTGCACTTTGTAATGTTTAGAAGAGGTGATTTATAGAGGGGGGAAAATAAAACCCAGGGTGTTAAAATAGCGAACAGGAGAAAGCTCTGGAGGAATTCTACAAAATTATGCTTCTAGTTACTGAAATTATTATCATTCTGATCATATATTTGCAGATGACATCCATGACAGGAAAAATATGACTTCGATTTTTCAAATATATATAAGATTGGTGTCTATAGTGGAAGAAGAGAGAGAAAACCACAGTAAGATATCAGCATCTGTAGGGTGATTTACTGTCATGGCTCATTCCATTTAAACAAATGTCCAGTTCTGTAACTTCCATTTCTATTTACCACATTAATATATTCATAAATAATAATCTTATCCCAGTTTGTCCCAGTTAAACTACTATAATCCAATCATTTGATCTGCCTGGATTAAAAATGCTTATGAAGTTCAGAACTGTTTATCTTAGAAATATTTTTCAATTCACCAGACTATCCACATAATTAAGTCTCTGTGTACATAGACATACATAGTTGGTACTGGGCAAATGACCAGAATAAATAACCTGTCATAACTGAGGAGATTGCATTGGTGCATTGAGATGACTACGTGACATTGGACTGCTGGTCATTCTGTGCTGAGGTTTTATATCCATCTTTTTCCCCTGCTGTCTACTGCTTCCGTTTATTACCATCTGTTTATTTCTGGTCGCGACTTCTCTCTACTTTGACAGTGTTCTTTAGTAGGAAGAAATACCAGAACCACCGGTAGCTTAAAATAAAAGCTAGACAAGTTCCAAATAAAATATCAGGCAGTTATTGTAAATAATTGAGTCAATTAAGCATTTAAAGATATAATTAGACTGTGTTCTGGTCCAGTTTTCTTGGCTGGGTTCTGAGGAATTTGCTGTATTTTGGTTTTGACTTGCTTGGTTTTAGATGTATATCTTTCAGAATGAAATATATATAAATACATGTGTTCATTGTTAAATGCAAAGGCTTTTGCTCAGTGAGAACGTTGTTATCTAAAATGTAGCAAGCTGGGGTATATGCCAGAGGGATGATCCAAGGTTCCCTTTGAACCCGAGTCTCAAAATATTTGATATTTATGAATCTTCTGGAGTGCCCTAGAACTTCCTTAAAAGATACTTGAGTTTCTCTCTGTTGCTGCAGAACAATTCAGCGCATATGGGGTACTGCCTGTGTCCTGCAAAATACGATTTAGGATGATTGCTTGATTGTGGTTGAAGATTTATCTTGTAATGGTCAAGCCAATGAAAGTGGTTTGACAAGGACTAATGTAAAAAGCAAGTGGGAGTTTTTAAGTTAAGAAACAAGATTGATCTCAAGCAATTTGTATCTGTGGTGAAAATGCTGTCATTTATTCATGATTTAGCAATAGGTGTCAATTGTGAATATTCAGGAGGAGTACTTAATTTTCAATCCTGTATGCTGTGCATAAGCTAGTTTTCAAATAAAGGTGAATTTTTGCAAATGAAAATTCATGTAAATCAATGCTTCTCGTTGCTGATTCTGAAATGTCCTTGTCTGGGTATTTATAAGACTTAATGCTTAAACCTTCCCTCCCCGCTTGTTTTCCTTACAAGTTTTGTGCTTCAGTGTTGGGTATTGCCACTATTGCAGTTGAACTTCTCTGCAATCTAGGTTTTCAAGTTTGCTACAATAAAACAATCACTGACTTCTGGAAGTGACTGTTATAATGACCGCATAAATTCAGTATAAAAATTACTTTATGACCTCATCATAAAGCTTGCTTATACCCTCAAGCTGAATAGAATATCACGGTGTAATATTATATTCAGATGTACTCTTTTCTACTGTTCACTACTGAGTAGTTGTGGTAAGCATTGCCAGAAACCCTGAGTTGTTCTAGTGTCCATCTGTACAGCAGAGCGAGTTAGCCCCTGCATAGCTGTGGTTATACTGGTAAATGGAATAGTCTATTTAAAGGCCGAATCTGCTGCTCTTTGAGTATATTCAGCTGTTCTATGTCTCAATAAGCTGCGGAGAGAAATTTAAACAAATACTCTCAGCAAAGAATGTGTTATTTTTAAGCTAGGGAATTCTGTACTGATTTTCAAGCTTGGAAGCTGAGATTATTTGGCTTAGTCTAGTTCTCCTCAGTGATGGAAGAAACACACTCTTT